TCATTTCTTATGCTACTGTCAGGTCTGGTACAATCACTAGATTTAGCTACATAGCTTGAATTACCTACATAGCTTTATTTACCTACCTGAAGTAGCTTTATTTAGCTACTAAATCAAACTTATTTCTTGAATAAGAATTTTTTCCAGAAAGTGCAGAAAATTGCACTTTGATGCAGTGATAATTTTCAAGTTTGAACTCATCTGAAAACAATTCATGAAAAAATCACTCTTGGAGATGTGTCTTTTTTTGCGCAATTGCAATCAAAGTTCTAAAATTTTTTGGGCTATATACAACAGTTAATTTGTGACCTAACAGTTACTTCTTGAGTGTAATAACAAAGAAAACCAGTTTTGGTTAACATGAGCACAATGTGAAGTAATCATACTTATCCACGCCTCATCGAGCACAAGGTGCGTACAGTTACTCAAACAATGGGAATACATATTTCCCTTAAAAATGATCAAACGCAGCAATGTTAAAACTATCTCTGCTTTAGATTGCTTTTTAAATGATACCTAGAATAAATATTAGTAGACATTTTCTTGCGACGTTTTGTCTTTTTAAAATAAAAAGCAAAATTGTGAAAAGTTGCCTTGAATTAGCTAAAAAAAAAGCTACCTGAGGTAGGTAAATAAAGCTACGGTAGGTAATTTTAGCTACGTAGCTAAATGTACTGATTGTACTGGACCTGACTGTGTATAATAAGCTCACTCAGCAATTGCATGTACAATGTATGTATGACCTATTGTGAGTTAAACATAAAACATGTAACATAAATTAATCATTTATTATTCTTCTTCATTCTAGAGAATGGTACCCAATTTTGCCTGCCCTCATCAGTCATCACAATATAAAGGATTTTACATTTAGAAGTAGGTATGATTAGATTATTATTTTTTTTTTTGTGCTTTTGCATGTATCATTAAAATACGTAAAAATCATTATCTAAGTTGAGATGAAGTGTCTGCAGATTTTATGAATAAGTGATTTTCTTCTTTTTAAAATGTTGACAGTAAAACTGAAATTAATATATAATTGTTCTGGTCATCATGGTCATGTTATATGTATTTTCATTTTTTTTTAATATTCAAATTTCGAGCAAAAAATGCATTATAATCTACAAGTAAATTATGTAAATTATGATTGTTTAATTAAGATATGAGTTATGACTATGAAGTTGCAGTATAAGATTTGATTTTGCTTGATTTCTTTAAAATTAATGCATTACTCTGGAAGAGAAAAAGGTGAAATTAAGACAATTGTACGTGAAATGAGAAAGATAATCACAATCAAATACAGTTTTAATGTATGAGGTATATGACAAAATTTACAATCTACATGCATATAATGCTGTGTATTTTTTTCTTCAGGACAATCCTGCAAATTTGCAGCTGTACAAATTGCACTTCATCTCATCTGCTGCTGGAATAAATAATGAAAGATTTTCAAACCAGTGTCCAAGAGCCCCCTAGAGTCTGAAATGAAGGTGTTCTTTATTAAGGAGATCAGTGTGTGATGTATTTGTTTTCTGTGCATTGATGACATTTGTGAAACTGTTCGGTTACTTTATGACCATCTCTCTGACAACTACTTTGACATTTGAAATTCAATTTGAGTGACGGACAAGCAGACCAAATAATATGCATGTAAAACATTATACAGTTGTAATAAGACATTGATAAACTTCACTTTAACAAACTAGATGTACATGCATCTTTGAGCTTGGCATTGAAATACATGTATACTTTACATGGACACTTTTAATGAATTTGTCTCATGATAATGAACATTCAATTCTTATACATTGTAAATATAAATTGTAGATAATATGTATTTGGTCCAATATATATAATTATATTTATATTCACCGAAAAAAGGAATTACTCTGAATAGATAATGTGAACTTGGTCAATTCTTTTTATTCCTCATTTAGACACTGAATAACATTCAAGATCAAATGTCAAGGTCGAAAACAAGATTTACTTAAATTTGGGTAATAAATACTGTAACAACTGTGGACTCTTATGCATGTTTTATAAGATCTAAGGAATATGTGTGAGCTGACTACAATAATTATTGCTGTCAACTATGACTATGAAGATTTAGGAAAATGTTTTCTGTTAAACATAAGTTTAATAAATTCTCACATATAAATATTTTTTTTAATTAAGATACACTTGTACGGCACTGAACTGACCATAAATTGAGAACAAACTGAAGCGAAGTAAGAAATTTTAACATTTTGAATGTCTTGATTTTTATATAGCAAACATGATGAAAATGTTGCATGTTTGTAAAATATTAACATACAAACAAATGATGAACTGAACATTTCAAACAAGAATAACTTTAATAATAAATATAAAATAAATTTTTATCATACATTTAAAATTGAATATAATAAGACAATTTTAACTTATTTAATAAATGAAAGTCAACATATTCTAGATCTAAATTTTGACTTGTTTGTTCTCGGTTTATGGACTTGTCATATCTTGAAGTTCTTATTTAGATTTACATCAAAAGTAAAATGTAATATACAGCTGATATAGATGCAGTTAGATCTATATGTTATTTTCGTGATGCCCAGTTAAGGGAAAAATAAAGTTTTGCATAAATTTTACATGAACAGATGAAACATATACTTGTTAAAACATCAAACAAATCCTACTTTTGTCATTATTTAGTATGTGTAGACATGATAGAGAAATTGTTTCTTCAATTGGTACGGTTATAATTCAGTGTACCTACCCCGCATGAAAGATTTGGTATTCGTGGTCTGATTCTCATAAAGAGTTTAAATTTTGTTTCTTTTGTCTACTTTATCATAACATTTGAAAAGTATCTGCAATCTTTATTGTTTCCCCCTTTTTCTCTTTCTAATTTTAACTCCATTTATTTTTCGTAGAGAACAAATTCAAAAAGAAATCACAAACACCTTGACGTCTCCCGATCATTGTTTGTATGTAAAATTAAACAAATAAAGTTTAACTATATTTTTTTCTTCAATTCTTCCGAACTTCCAATATCTTCACATGTTCGCTAATCAATACTTGCCTACGTTATTTTAAAATCCTTTTGTTTACATTTTAACTGGTTACTCGCAAATTAATTCGTGAGAGGTGTCGGAAATTAATGGATGTCGATCTCGATTATTTTTTCTCCATTAAAATTTATTACATTTAAATTAATTACATAACTATAACTAATTTTTATTTGATGGTCATTTTATAATTTTTTTTTCGTTTTGTCAAATTAACTCTTTAATATTAAAAAAAGACTGAGAGCAACAGGATAGGATAGGATAGGATTACACTGAAATCACAGGATAGGATTGTGGATGCCTGATTCACGATAGAATAGGATTGTCAACTTATAGGATAGCAGCACTGTATTGAATTGAATTATACAATCAAAGAGGACGTCTGATTGTATTTCCTGTCGAGTATCGTCTCTTTTGTCAACTTCCAGCTAAACAAGAAGTAACTATAAATGACTAATTTCTGCAGATATCAACATAAAATCAAATGATTGAATTCAACCAAGACTTTTGACTCAATTTTTTGTCGATTGGGGTCACTTCCGGTCAACCGGAAGTAGTCTTGATTTGCTTTATTTAGCAAGAATCAGCATAAAAATCATTAAAAAAAAAATACAGATCGACAATTTTTGGTCTGGAGGCCTTCTTTTTAACGAATACTTTACTTTCATTTATCCATCTTACAAGCAGTGCTTCTGAAAATCGGACGGAAGACCTACTCGTTGCTTTGCAACGAGCTTTGCTGTAGTTATTATTATTATTCTTTTTAAGGTCTTCCGTCTTCAGCGGAAGACCTTCTTGTTATTCTTCGGTTTCTTTTCCACTGTTTTTCTTATTATTTTTTTTCTTACCGATTTTGTGCACGCGATTTCTCGAAAACGGTTCGCTTGATTTTCATGAAACTTTCAGGTCTGATAGAACATTAAAAAATCTTGATACATATTTTTTTTATTTTGATGACGTCACTTCCGGTCCGAAGATTTTTGCAATTTAGTGATTTTTGGAGGGTCAGTTTGTCCGCAGGTTTTCTAAGAAACCACTCATCACAGGAGCGTGAAACTTTTATTGAAGACAGAGCAACATATGTAGATCTGTAATACGTAGTTTTCTTTCACCGGAAGTGCCACACGTCGACGCTCTCTATGGCCTGAAAAAAGTCGTATCGAGAGTTTCAAATTTTCGAACACTTTCTGTTCGATATCTTTTTACTTGGAAATATTTTGTTAAAACATATATAACAAAATTTGTGCAGAATTACAAGATCTTTTAAATGATAACTCGAAAAAAGGGCTGGCCCCTAAAGTAAGGAATCTAAAGGGGTCAAAATATTTTTCCTGATATCTCAAAAATTATTGAGAATTTGTAATACTTCAAAGAAGCAAAGTTGTTCAACATGACAAGTAGCAGCTTGCGAGATCATCAAAATGTGTCGAATGACGTCACTTCCGGTCAAACAGGAAGTAGTAGAAAATTGCTTATTTTCACAGATATTGGTACAGTGCTGCTATCCCACAAGTTGACATGGGATGGGATTGGATAGGATTCAGGATTGAGGATTCACGATAGAAACATATAGAAGTTAATCCAATCCTATCCTATTCTATCCTGTATCCTACAGCCAATCAGATTCGAGTAAAGGTTAATTCATATGTCAGAATAAATTACAGAAATGCAAAAGGATATAGAACGTTTACAAAAGAATTATTTATAAAATCAGAAAAGAAAATAGACGGGTTTTTTTTTCTTAACACACATTTATACTATTACCTTCGAGTAATATGGCGTACGATCTAATTGTGAACGATCACCGGAAGAAGTTTCGCATGTAAACAAAGAAGAGATCGGACATCAAAAGATCGTATTTCTTCAGCATATTTGGATAATTAACTCGATTCCTACTTGTGTTACAGTTCAGTAACATGTTTCTCTGTTAAATGTGCTCTGTTTGTCTGGATAATGCCACTTGAACCGTCAGCGGCGGACTATAACAGATCATAATCGTAGTTGTTTGGTGCAAGACCATGTAAGTATACTACACACTGTAAATGTGTGCATGTTTATATATATCTCTCCCTTTAAGCAATGTTTTAATGACTTGAACTATTAAAATTTTATTCTATTGTAATATAGACAGAAATCGGATGTGGAAAAAAGAGGTTGTGTAGAAAGGGGAGGGGTAGGGGGGTTAAATATTTACAAATACTTTGTCACATGATCAGATGTATTATACCTTTTTCAGTTTGTTATTGCTTTATACTCATTTCCCTACTGTGGTTAAAAAATATTTTTTATATGATTGCAATTTAAAATGATTAAATGCAGAATCGTCATGATCATTTCTTATGCTACTGTGTATAATAAGCCCACTCAGCACTTGCATGTACATTGTATGTATGACCTATTGTGAGTTAAACATAAAACATGTAACATAAATTAATCATTTATTATCTTCTTCATTTCAGAGAATGGTACCCAATTTTGCCTGCCCTCATTAGTCATCACAATATAAAGGATTTTACATTTAGAAGTAGGTATGATCAGATTATTTATTTTGTTTATGCATGTTTCATTAAAATACATAAAAATCATTATCTAAGTTGAGATGAAGTGTCTGCAGATTTTATGAATAAGTGATTTTCTTCTTTTTAAAATGTTGAGAGTAAAACTGAAATCAATGTATAATTGTTCTGGTCATCATGGTCATGTTATATATATTTTCATTTCAAGCAAAAAATGAAAAGAAATTAGCAAACAATATATTAAATAGATTAATACAAGCAGAAAATAGAGAGAAAAAAACATCCAAACATGTACTCATACTACTTAGCAAGATGGCGAGATGAAATGAATTATAATCTACAAGTAAATTATGTAAATTATGATTGTTTAATTAAGATATGAGTTCTGACTCTGAAGTTGCAATATAAGATTTGATTTTGCTTGATTTGTTTAAAATTAATGCATTACTCTGGGAGATAAAAAGGTTAAATTCAGACAATTGTACATGAAATGAGAAAGATAATCACAATCAAATACAGTTTTAATGCATAATGTATATGACAAAATTTACAATCTACATGCACATAATGGTGTGTGTTTTTTTCTTCAGGACAATCCTGCAAATTTGCAGCTGTACAAATTGCACTTCATCTCATCTGCTGCTGGAATAAATAATGAAAGATTTTCAAACCAGTGTCCAAGAGCCCCTTAGAGTCTGGAATGATGGTGTTCTTTATTAAGGAGATCAGTGTGTGATGTATTTGTTTTCTGTGCATTGACGACATTTGTGAAACTGTTCGGTTACTTTATGACCATCTCTCTGACAAATACTTTGACATTTGAAATGCAATTTGAGCGACGGACAAGTAGGCCAAATAACATGCATGTAAAACATACAACTGTAATAAGACATTGATAAACTTCAATTTAAACAAACTACATGTACATGTATCTTTGAGCTTGGCATTGAAATACATGTATACTTTACATGGACACTTTTAATGAATTTGTCTCATGATAATGGAACATTCAATTGTTATACATTGTAGATATAAATTGTAGATAATATGCATTTTGTCCAACATATATAATTATATTTATATTCACTGAAAAAAGGGATTACCCTGAATAAATATTGTGAACTTGGTCAATTATTTTTATTCCTCATTTAGACACTGAATAACATTCAAGATCATATGCCAAGATCAAAAACAAGATTTACTTAAATTTGGGTTATAAATACTGTAACAACTGTGGATTCTTATGCATGTTTTATAAGATCTAAGGAATATGTGTGAGCTGACTACAATTATTATTGCTGTCAACCTGTCTGACTGTGAAGATTTAGGAAAATGTTTTCTGTAAACATAAATTGATTAAATTCTCACACATTAATATTTTTTTAATCAAGATACACTTGTACGGCACTGAACTGACCATAAATTGAGAACAAACTGAAGCGAAGTAAGAAATTTTAACATTTTGAATATCTTGATTTTTATTTAGCAAACATGATGAAAATGTTGCATGTTTGTAAAATATTCACATACAAACAAATGATGAACTGAACATTTCAAACAGAACTAACTTTAATAATAAATATAAAACAATTTTTTATCATACATTTAAATTGAATATAATAAGACAATTTTAACTTATTTAATAAATGAAAGTCAACATATTCTAGATCTAAATTTTGACTTGTCTGTTCTCGGTTTATGGTCTTGTCATATCTTGAAGTTCTTATTTAGATTTATGCCAAAAGTAAAATCTAATATACAGCTTATATAGGTGCAGTTAGATCTATACGTTATTTTCGTGATGCCCAGTTAAGGGGAAAACAAAGTTTGCATAAATTTTACATGAACAGATGAAACATACACTTGTTAAAACATCAAACATTCTATTTTTAGGTCACCTGAGTCACTCAGGTGACCTATTGCTACAATGTATCCGTTTTTGTCCGTCGTCGTGCGTTAACATTTAAACATTTTCAGCTTCTTCTCTGAAACCGCTCAACCAATTTCAACCAATTTTGGCATATAGCATCTATGGGTGAAGGGGGACAAAAATTGTGAATTTCATGGACCCTGCCCCCCTGGGGCCTGAGGGGTGGGACTAAAACCACCAAAATTAATGCAATCTTTAAAAATCTTCTTCTTTACTCCTGGACATCAAGCAGTCAAACTGTTGGCATGATTGTAATAAGCATTGAGCCATCTACCAAAATTGTGAAATTCATGGCCCCAGGGTCAGGGGTTCTGATGCTAGGGCAGGGCAATATAGATCATATAGTGAAAGTGCATTATTTCTTTGAAAATCTTCTTCTCTGCTCCTGGGTATTAGATAAACTAACTAAGTACATAGTTATATAGAGCAAGACTGCCTCTTCCAAAATTGTGAATTTCATGGCCCCTGGGTCAGGGGTTCTGGTGTTAGGGAGGGGCTCTATTGATTATATAGTGAAAATGCATTAAATCTTTGAAAATCTTCTCCTTTGCTCCTTGGTATGAAATAAAGTAACTAAGTACATGTACATAGTTATAATGAGCATGGCTGCCTCTTTCCAAATTGTGAATTTCATGGCCCCTGGGTCAGGGGTTCTAGTGTTAGGGAGAGGCTCTATTGATTATATAGTGAAAATGCATTAAATCTTTGAAAATCTTCTCCTTTGCTCCTTGGTATGAAATAAAGTAACTAAGTACATGTACATAGTTATAATGAGCATGGCTGCCTCTTTCCAAATTGTGAATTTCATGGCCCCTGGGTCAGGGGTTCTAGTGTTAGGGAGAGGCTCTATTGATTATATAGTGAAAATGCATTATATCTTTGAAAATCTGCTTCTCTGCTCATGAGTATTAAATAAATTAACTAAGTACATTGTTATGATGAACATAGCTGCTTCTTCCAAAATTGTGAATTTCATGGCCCCTGGGTCAGGGGTTCTGGTGAAGGGAGGGGGGACTCTATTGATTATATAGTGAAAATTCATAATTTCTTTCAGAATATTTTTTTCTACTCCTGGTTATAAAGCAAAGAAACAAGTGTATAGTTATGATGAGCAAGGATGCTTTTTCAAAATTTTTAAAACTTGTGGTCCCAGGGGTTCTGTTGTTTCTCTGAAGGGGCGGGGGCTCTATTTGATAAGATAGTGAAAATGTGTGAATTCTTTGAAAATCTTCAACTAATTGCATAGTTATGATGATGGGGGTACCTCTTCCAAATTTGTAAATTTTCAACACCTGGACCATTTAGTCAAGTGTTCTGGTCCTGGCCAGGGCTCTGTTAATTTGTATTCTATTGAGTGAAGTTATTCCCCTTTGCCATTCACTTTTGATAATTAATCACTGTAGATAATGTATTTGAAAGGTTAATAGAATAAAGGAATTATGCAAGAACATTTATTGTATAATATAAAAAGTACTTTCATAGTTTTAATAATCAGGTAGACTTGGAAATAATAGATGAATAAAAATGAAACAAAAATAACTTATCTTCTTAAATGTTCTTCAAAGGCCAAGTGAGGCCAATGTGAGAGGTAATATTATAGACATTTTGTTAAGTTTGCAAGGTAATAGTGATAAATGGGGGACAGATAGAAAGATACTAGACCAATTATTTTGTTGATCATAATCGTACTAATTTTCTTGCTATTGGGCAACAATTAAAGCTTCATTTATCAGTTTATGGATCCTCTAAATTGTTGTACTCAGGTGACTGTTAAGGCCCTTGGGCCTCTTGTTGTCATTATTTAGTATGTGTAGACTTGATAGAGAAATTGTTTTTTCAATGGGTACGGTTATAATTCAGTGTACCTACCCCGCATGAAGGATTTGGTATTCGTGGTCTGATTCTTATAAAGAGTTTAAATTTCATTCCTTTTGTCTACTTAATCATAACATTAGAAAAGTATCTGCAATCTTTATTGTTTCCCCATTTTTCTCTCTCTAATTATAACTCCATTTATTTTTCATAGAGAACAAATTCGAAAGAAATCACGAACACCTTGACGTCTCCCAATCATTGTTAGTATGTAAAATTAAACACAAATAAAATATAACTATATTTTTTTCTTCAATTCTTCCGAAGTTCCAATTTCTTCACATGTTCGCTAGATCAATACTTGCCTACATTTTATTACAATTCTTTTGTTTACATTTTAACTGGTTACTCGCAAATTAATTCGTGCGGGATTTCGGAAATTAATGGAAGTCGATCTCGATTATTTTTTTCTCCATTAAATTTTATTACATTTAAATTAATTACATAACTATAACTGATTTTTATTTGATGGTCATTTTATAATTTTTTTTTTCATTTTGTCAAATTAACTCCCAAATATTAAAAAAAAAAACTGAGAGCAGCAGGATACAATGTAGGATAGGATAGGATTAGACTGAAATGACAGGATAGGATTGTAGGATGCAGGATTCACGATAGGATAGCTAGGATAGGATTGTCAACTTATAGGATAGGAGCACTGTATTGAATTGAATTATGCATGTCACAGAGGACGTCTGATTGCATTTCCTGTCGAGTATCATCTCTTTTGTCAACTTCCGGTTACCGGAAGTGACTATAAATGACGTATTTCTGCAGATATCAACATAAAATTAAATGATTGAATTCAACCAAGACTTTTGACCCAGTTTTCTCTCGATTGGGGGTCACTACCGGTCAAACCGGAAGTAGTCTTGATTTGCTTTATTTCATGAAAATCAGCATAAAAATCATTAAAAACTAAATACAGATGGACATATCATTTTTGGTCTGGAGGCCTTCTTTTTAAGTATATATTACTTTCATTTATCCATCTTACAAGCAATGCTTCTGAAAATTGGACGGAAGACCTACTCGTTGCTTTGCAACGAGCTTTGCTCTAGTTTATTCTTATTTCTTCTCCGTTACTTTTTTGTCCGCGAGTGTTCTCGGAAACTGCACATCCAATTGAGTTAAAACCTTTTTAGGGTTACTAGGTATGTTATGTAGATTTGCGGAACGAAGGTCATTTTGCGTGCACGTGCACGCACGTGCGTGCGCGTGCAATGCGTAAAATGACCAATATACATGATATAGCTGTAACTTTTATATTTTTTGATGAAATGCTTTGATACTCAGGATACAAGGATATATTAAAAGTGTAGACAAGATGACATGGTCAACATGCACATGCATGCACGTGCGCGCACGCGCAAATCGTAAAATGACCAATTTACTTGATATAGTCGTAACTTTTATATTTTTTGACAAAATGATTTGATACTCAAAATATTTATATATATTAAAAGTGTAGACAAGATCACATGGTCATCATGCACATGCATGCATATGCATGCACGTGTGCGCGCGTGCAATGTGTTAAATGACCAATAAATTTAATATAGTCGTAATTTTTATATTTTTTGATGAAAAGCTTTGATATTAAGAATATACAGATATATTTCAAGTGTAGACAAGATGATGTGGACATCATGCACATGCATGCACATGCGCGCGCGTGCAATGTGTTAAATGATTAATATACTTAATATAGCCGTAACTTTTATATTTTTTGAAGAAAAGCTTTGATACTATGAATAAACAGACATATTATAAGTGTACACAAGATGGCATGGTCATTATGAACATGCATGCAGGTGCGCGTGCGCGCAATGCTAAGATGACCAGTATACTTGATATAGCCGGAACTTAATATATTTTTGATGAAATGTTTTGATACTGAGAATATAAAGATACATTAATAGTATAGACGGGATGACATGGTCATACTGCACATGCATGCACGTGCGTGCGCGTTAAATGCAAAAAACGACCAATATACTTCATTGCCTTATTTAATGAAGCTTACAGGAAATAAAACACCAAAAGGGAGTTGGGGAGCGTTTGGGGAACATCTGTAACGGTCTCCGTTACAATTATAACTAGTTCTAGTTGGAACAGAAAATAATCTGTGAAAGTCCAAACTCCTCTAAAGCAGATGTCCAGTATTGTGGGGGGTCTTTCATTAAATCAATATTAAAATCACCTGCCAGAATTATTTCAGTATCAACACAGCAGGAGGCACGATTAACCTCCCTTGCTAGGTCCTCTGCCCAGCAGGAGAGGGCAGATGGTGGACGATAAGCAGAGCAATAAAATATAGGTTTTGAATTTCTTAAATTTTTCTCTACAGTGGCGTGATATGTGTCCGTGTTCACTACAGAAGTAGCAAGTCACAGATTGATAAAAGCTTGCATTGGAGTCCGTATTGATTCGACTGGAATTCACACGCAGAATTGAGACTTCGCTGTTAATCCGTTTAAGCAGCATTGACGTCCCCTTGTCTGAAAGATGAATACCGTCTTTCCAATAATGCATACGGATTACCTCCTTGAATTCACTTTTGTTGGAAATAAAGACACCTCTATATTCATCACATACATATTTTAGTGTGGTATTCACATGAGATACATCCACATCCCGTCTTGGTAATACTTCGGAAAAATATACTTTTGTTCCCGGAGAACGATGTTTGATGTTGGAGATGATTTCCGCGGCATCATGTTCAATGGCGTCCATGTCTCGATGAGATGAGGCATCATTTCCCCCGGCTTGGATAATGATGTGGGAGTATTCTGCTACATTTATTTTGAGAAGTTTAGCTTTGATGTGGAAAAGTTTATCCCCTCTATTTGTTCTTACATGAACACCCTTTTGTAGTCCTCTGGTTCTTACCCGTTGTAGGATTGAATTGCCAATTATAAGTTTTGTATTACCAGATTTTTCCTTTTCTTCAATCATGGATCTTGCAGGTGTATGTATTGGGTGGTTGTGTGGTTCAGTGTGTATTCAGCTGTGTATTTTGTTTTCTTTTCCGGTAAAGAATGTTCGCACTGAGTGTGTCTAGATATGGAATTCGTTGGTGCAGATTTTAAACCATGTACGTCTGTTTCCTTGTTTTTCACAACCTTGATTGATGTCTGAGTGTTTTTGTCAATCAGTATTGGTTTGTTGTGATCGTCTTCTTTTTTTTTGACATTTTAGTTTTTCTTTAAATTCTTGTAATTCTTTAGCTAAATTACAGATAGCCAGTTGTAGAGATTGAATTGTACTCGCACACTGTGTACAATTTTGTACATCACTTGACTGACTGGTCGACACAAGAGAAGCACTTTTAACTGGAGTTGATGCTATTTGTGGTGATGATTGTCCCAGAACAAAACTAATATTGTTAGTGTCTTTGATCTTGATGTCGTGAATGAATTTGTCAAGCCAGGTATTTGCTGAATGTGTAAGACGCTAGTCCCAGCATAGAGTGTGGCCGTCTAAGAATCACAATCGGACTTGAAAATTTGTCCATTTTTCCCTACTTCTTTAATTGTTTTTAGTTCCTCTTTTAAATAGTTCAAAATAGTTACATATTTTTCTTGTTGGAAGGACACAGTTATACTGTATTTGTTATATGTCACATTTAGAAAGTGTGGTATAATCACATCAGTAGTAGTGATATTTTCATCTCCATCAAATGATTGTGTAAGTCCAGAAAAGGATTTAAATAAGCTTGAATTAATACTTTGATCCATATGTTCGTTAGACTCAGCCATATATTTTGGCTAGGAAAACAAACACAATCACTCATAGTAATTCAACATAGGTAACAGGTAAGATTAGAGCTGCCCCCCCCCCCCCCCCCCCCCAAAAAAAACACGTCTTATCCGTTCGGCTGCTTATCGTCATTTTGAATATAATTAAAAAAAATCTGATATTTTTTGTAAGGTATTGCTCCAAAACTCTAGATATATTAAAATAATCGTTAGACATTGATTCCAGCTGTGTTTGCATGGAAAATAATTTTAGTCAAATGAGAATTATAAAACAAGTTACAAATACTTAATCTGCAATCGCTTAGTATTTTTCAATGTATTATGTTGATTGTACCTTTAGTGATCGAGTCTGAATAGCTCCTACGTAATTATGTAATAAATTAATCAATTTTTACTAAAGAAATATAAAATTCCTAATAAAAAGTTATCTTAAAATGGATTTCAATCTCAATGAGTGCAGATGGCTGTATATTTCAATGCTATTTTCACAAATCTCTTTTCAAGTGTACCATGTGCACTTTAATTATTTAAATTTGCATGATTCCCAATTGCAAGATTCCCAAGTTGTGAGGATTTGTTTTATGAGATGGATGCTTGAAGTAATTTGTTGCTACGTCGGGGATCAAATTTTATCGCATTACTAAAGGAAAATTTCAAGAACAAAGTTACCAGTAATGTAAATCATATACGGTACCAATTTTGATGCATCAGATGCGCATTTCGACAAATTATGTCTCTTCAGTGATGCTCAAGCCGAATCGTTGTGAAATCCAAAATATTTAAATAAAAAAGACTTGGAAGAGCTGAAAAAGATGCTAAAAACTGGAGACAAATACCTCGAAGGATCAGAGTTATGCATGAGGGAGATAATCCTTATTTTTGAAATAAGTAAGTCATATTGATATTTAATTCATGCCGTGTGGATTCAATTTTGGTAAACGCTTTACTCCTGGGAATTAAGGTGGCATGGCCGTAGGAGCCGGGGGGGGGGGGGGGGGGCAAGGAATTTTGGAAGTTGACAGTGCCCCCTCAACTAGAAAATGTATGCTTGTGCCCCCTCAAAGTGAATATACGGGCCTGGGTGGGGACACAATATTGATCAACAAATAACAAATTTTAACGATGATAAAGTTGAATGTATTTGGCTTGATAATATCAACGTGTCTCCAGAACTTCTTGTTTATAATATTTTTTGATAAATAATTCACGTGATTAATTTTAATTCGAGGAATTCAAAGAATACTTACGCTTATTTTGGTAAAAAGAATATTTTCATCATAAAAGTGCTGGAAAATTCTTCTGAATCACTTTTCACACATCATAATTAACAAAATGATGAAAGATTTCAGTAAAAAAATCTTACTTGTAACCATCTTCATCGATTGCCACCGATAGATGGCGTGGTTGATCCCCACAGTAATAGAGATTCCTGTCATTTTCTGGAATAAGGTCAACGTCATGGAAGAATACACAATTAAAGTCAAACAATTTCTCTGCTTCGAGAAACCCGGCATTCATAAGTCTTCCTTTGTTAAAAGTTGTATTTCCTGTCTACGATATAATCTTGAGTTACTTGAAATGTCTTTAAACTAACTTCTTTTCAAGAGAACATACTTGAGACACCTTTAAAGCAATAGAAAGAAATTTACTTGAACCTGTTCAATTACAAAAATTCTAAATTCTGTTTGTTGAGCCATTAGGACAGGGATAAGATTCTTAAGAAGAATGCAAAGATGCTCCTCTCTATCTCTATATGGTATAATGATAGCAACGCGACGTGTAGGACTGCAGTCTATCGGTATCCAATGTCCCCCAAATATTCGCATTTTTCTCGCAGAAGAAAGAGAAAATGAAGTGCAATTCTGTCTATCAGTAAAAAGTTGCGTATCCTCGATCGTTCGACCCGTTGATTTCGATAATTTTGCTGTTTTGAGACATTTGATTAGCTGACACTTTGTTTTGTTGTAATACATCATATTACAGGATTCTACTGCGCTACGTTCAACGTGCAGCCATTTTGTGTGACATTCCGCCATGACACAAGGTTTGATATCAACTGTCCTGTTGCCTTCTGAAAAAAAAACAACATTTTTTAATCTACCACAGCATGTACTTAACTAAATTGTATTTAGTTTAACGTGCTGCATTTTAAACAGAGAGAGAGAGAGAGAGAGAGAGAGAGAGAGAGAGAGATTCATACTTATCTCTGACTTTAATGTTGAAATCAAACACGGTTTCCTCATATCATTTGCTTTATGAAATTTTCTTTCTGTTTCTCCTTTTTTTAAAAATTGTTGAACTAAATCTTCAAAATTAAATTTCCATGTGGAAGCAGATGAGAGATTCCTTGAAGTTATTCGGTATTTAATCAAAGATGTTTTCACAATTAGAAGCACATTTATCCCACAGAAAACCAGCAATACAAATAGCACTGAAAGAACATAAGTTTTATTTAACTTCATCATTCCATTAAGTAATTATTTTCACGTAACAATATTTTTGGCCGAAACCGTCTTTAGTGCTTTTTTTAGTGCTTGCTACACATCTACACTGTATCAACACTCTAGCGTTTTACATTGATTATAGGGTTTTTAAACACGCATTGTAAATAGAAAGCAGGCGTTCATAATACATTTTTACCGTAATGCAAGAATCAAGTAGGCGTATTTTTTTTTTTAGATGGAAATAGATAGCCCACTGTAAAAAGTCTTGTATTTTGGCATGTTTTACTGTTATTCACTGATTTAATTTTTCTGTGTTAATACCAATGGTAAATAATACCCGAATATTTCATTATGCATTGTAACTAATAATTTAAAATATATATATATATATTTTCTAACATAAAATGGTAGTTTTACCGAGCATCAAATACCTAAATAGCGGTCGAGGAATAAAGTTGATTTTATCTCTACTTAAAAAAGAAAAAAAAATTCGTATCTTTATATCTGAATTCATTTGCCCAAGTCATATTTCTTTCTCGGATTAATAGCCTAAAATCTTATTAGAAATTAGAAAGTTTTATTTGACGTCATGTTGCTAGTTGACTACTTAACCTCACTTTGATATTTTATTTACTCATATTGTGACGCTAGCAAATGTCGAATGAAGGCTATAAGTTAACACTAAATTTGGTTTTAATAACCATTGAGCAGTGAGCACCTTCTGCAGCTGGATTTCTGTAAAGCGCAAGTATCGAGGACCCGCAGTATAATTAGAAGAAGCAATGCAAAAATAAGTACTTAAGGCAATACTCCAACCAGTTCCCCTAACAGGCGATGCCATGCGTCTTTGGTATATTATTTTCAGGTTCTTAAGGGTTTTTATCACTTATCTAAATTTCTTAAAAATAAAACACTATTATAATCTTGAAACATATAATAATCATTTAATTATGATACAATTTTGAAAACAGTCATAAAACACCCGTAATATTGAGTTCTTGAAGTAAAAATCGTCACTAATTAGGTAAAGATCACGTGGTACTGAAACGTCATAAGTGTCAATGGTCAATTAGAACTCGTAAGGCTTATCATAAGAGAAATATATGAAATAGATTTTGACGTTAAATATATAGACAACACAATAAGGTCGGTGAAAATTTTTGACATCGACGATAGTCTTTTGGTTACAGTCAATCTTTTTATATGTATGAACTTCGAGCAGAGAGAAATAACCGAAAGATATGCCGACAAAAGGAGAGGACACCGAAGAAGAAGTCGTTGACAACTTGGGACTTCGACTAAAAAAAACGAACTACTAAAGTTTGACTTTATAAATATTTATAAATATGAGAATTTTAAATTCAACTTCTTCATTATTTTAATAAGTTATATATAAATAAATCCTGTATATCTTCTATCTTTTCCAGTGAATATCATGTACTAGAAATGACACTTCTTCACCAGTGTTCAATGGCGCCATTACGAAGTTCACAATATTCCTACTAGATTCTCTGCGACCTTAAAAAATGCGTGTTGTGTATTTTTTTTTTCCGTTTTAAAAAGGTACCATGTCTTTAAAATAATTTATAGTACAGAAAAAAATCGCGATCGGACATAAACGGTTGTTCTGCATGGAGACAAAGTCCTCACGTTTGCAGAAAAAAGGGTTCCCTCCCTTCCACCTCTAGACCAAGTCCAGGAAATGTGAAAAAGTGTTTCTAAAACCTTTTTTGTGCTCATTTGTGCATCCTAAAGCCACAAATTATACTTTACTAGCTTTCAATCATCCAATTATCACTTATTTATTTACTAACAGGTTTAATAGACACAACAAATGAGCCGTTTTTTTTTTTATATACAATAAGTACTTAGCTTGACCGCGATTGACACCTAGTCGTCAGAGCAATGGTGCGTAGCATCGGCGATCAAAATATGCATTTTGAGAAATTCAGATTTTGAATCGCTGAAACATGACAATATCAATTTTCTAGCAAATATTTTTAAATATATGATTTTAATAACATTTAAACTTTCTCATATCAAAAAAATTTGAGTCGTGATAAAAATCCTTTAATTGCATATTAAGATTGGACAAAATATAAATTTATTCTAAATGTGTCATGTAAAAGGAACAATAGGCATTAGGGCTACGAAGGCCCATCCGCCAAATCTTGGCAACTCCCATCTTAAGAAAAGTTTATGTTTTTTTTCTACATTTGAAATTTAACACTTGACCCATCATTGAGTCCAAAACCAATGCCTAAAGGAGCCAACTTCAATCTACTCTAATGAAATTACTTTTGCATCAATATAACTTTACTATGAATTAATGTATGCTATAAATATCTATATTAATGTCGTAAGCCAACTGTGCATTGCTAATCTAGTAATTAATTATGTTGCATAATATATTAATGAATTAGAGTTATATTTTTTTCGTATTTTAAACTTGTTAAAGTAATTTTTTTTATAGATGGGAACTATTTTCCGTTGTATTTTTCTATCGGATTCCGTTGCTTTCCAACGGATTCCGTGTTGTTTTGGAACGGATACCGTTCCCCGAGGGTATATAAGTGAGCACCCGTTGTACAACGGGGACTCCAGATTTTTGGGCTTTTAGGATAAGATGTAGGTGAAATTTTAAGAACTTTTGGGGAATTTTTCTTTATTTCTATTAGTAACTCAGTAATTTGAAGAAATTTAGCTAGGCCTATTTATTTATTAGAGCCGTTTCACAATATTAATTAATATGTCTTAGGGAAATTTAATATTTTTGGGAATTTGGGGTTAAGACGACTGCAGCCATTATTTTTTTTTTATTGTATTTTTCTTAATTGAATTTTTATCATTGATTAAATTTTATTTAATTTGTTAATTGAGATTAAGCCAGAATAAACCATCATCTCAAGCTATTTAAATCTTCTTTTAATTGTTTACTGGAGTCCATCATTTAATTTAAAAATAAATTGGTTTAAAGTTAGTAAATTTCTGGGTGTTCAAAGTACCGTTAATCAGTTGATACACCCCAGTGATTGAGTGCCATCCCGTTACAAATGCTTAAAAATATATACACAACAAAAATTGAGATATCAGCATTTTAAGTCATTTCCAGTTTGATTATATAGGAAACAACATTCTCTGGTATCTTGCACAAATATCTGGTAATATACCCCAAGTTTCTGCGAGGAAGCTTCTTCAAGTAGCAATACTTCAGACACAAATTCTTGAGAAAAATTATATATCATTGGGGAAAGTGTCATTGACCCTAATGGAAACAAGTTTCTTTAAAGAGGGTTCTATTATCAACATTATCAAAAGGTAATCAGTAATTGAATATAAATTGTATGTATTCTCATAAATATTTGACAAAACATGTATCTGTGTGTTTTAATGTATGCATGTGCGTGTAGTGGGGTGCTTCAAATGAAATTAAATGATCTAAATGTTTTCATTTTGACATTTTGTGGCAAAATTTTATCTGCAAATAACTCAGAATATTTCCAAACCAAATAAGGATTATTCGTATTTTTAAAAATTAAACAAATATGAAAATATCTAACGAACTATTTATTAATGCCTATGCCTACGGAATGAGACATATAGGTGTACTTATGTTTGTCTGTCTGTTAAGCTGCTCTTTTAGCTTTTTGCAACAAAGATTGAAGAAGTTATTACTTCACCTACTACTCAAGGGTATGTCTGAACCTTGCATAAAGGTCGGTGTCTCTAGAAAATCTGGATCTCTTGATATTTTTAAAAAGGAATATGGCCTTGCAAGATACACACCTTATTCAAGTCAAATCCCAAATGGTAAAGGTCTAGATACACACCTTATTCAAGTCATATCCAATATGGTCAAGGTCTAGATACAAACCTTATTCAAGTCATATCCCAAATGGTAAAGGTCTAGATACACACCTAATTCAAGTCATATCCAATACGGTCAATGTCTAGATACACACCTTATTCAAGTCATATCCCAAATGGTAAAGGTCTAGATAACACCTTATTCAAGTCATATCCCAATGGTCAAGGTCTATATAAAAACACCTTATTCAAGTCATATCCCAAATGGTCAAGGTCTTGCACCCACCACATACAGAAAAT